GGGGGTCAGACTTGATGGTCTGCTCAGGTCCCTTCCAACCCTACTATCTATGAAATTAAGGCACTCAAATATGCATACAAATTTGATTTTCCTTTTACTAAACAAGTATGCATTCTCTAACAATATGACATTTCCATGAGACAAAACTTGGATGTATGGATTCTACATGCACCCATTCTTCAGAAGCCACATGAAAATACATTCTTGGAAGTAGGAATAACAATAACTTAGAAGATAAAACAGAAATCACTTTAATAGAGCTTCATTTTATTTGATCTTTAAAAATAAAAAACTTGTGAAAACTAGGAAATACAATCTGGGTCATGCTCTGAAATGATGACCTATGATTAAAAATTTTAAATATGGCTCAAAAGTCTCTACAAATTTTTTTCAGATACTTTAATTTTAAATATGCAAATTGTTCAATATTTTAATTATTTACCTATAGACACATTCAAATCTAAATAGAACATCTTCCAAATAGCGTAGAACTAGTACTTTATGGTGGTATCATAAATGCCAATTTACAAACCATGCAGAAGGAATTTATTATGGCTTTGTACAAAACTCTGAATCATTATTAGCAAAAGCATTTAATTTTAGTAAGCTAATAAATATTTCAGAATGACTGTTTCTCACTAAAAATGATGCCAAATAAAATTATGTAAAATTTTTAAAGTTTGTTTGCAGAAATCCTGTCATTTCAGAGATAACACTAATAGACTATTGCCAAGATACCCTGCAAATTTTCATGGCTTCTCATCTATAACTTTAAAACACTGAAATTAATTAAAAGTTACTATTTTTACAAAAAAACCCCCACATTTTAATAACCTTTCTTTTCACTCTTTTTTACATCCTATAGCATGTAAGTTGGGTTAACCAGCTTCTAGTATGAGATGTAGCTTATGTCCATTGTTAAGAAATTAAATGCCGCTCACTAGAACATAAGGGGTGCATCCACACATGCAAGCATGTGCATTTGCAGCAGCTCAAACAGAAGCAGTGCAAATCTGAGTTGGGGCTTTTTGCCTCAGTGCATGTGCTTGGACATGCACTTTGTTGTGGAGCAAATTGTGCCACTTGGGGCAAAATAACCCTGCCTGGCTCCTCCCAGATCTTTAGCCAGGGGGAGCAAGAGCCCGGGGCCAGCACCTGTGCTGTCTCCAGCAGTATTAAAAACTGCCCTGTCCTGGCCCCAGCAGTATAAAAAGCCACCCTGGCAAGTAGCTCAGGGCTACTAGCTCTCAGGAGCTTCTAGGGCCCTGCCAATTGGTACCTGGGGACACTACCCCTTGTGCCAGCTGGACTGCTGAAGCAGCCCTGAGTGTTCCCTGCACCCTCTACCCACTGCAGCAGTCTGGCAGTGGGGGCCGCTGCCTGGCTGTGACCTGCTGTGCACCTGCCAGACTCTAATGGGGAATGCAGAGCCAGTAGAGGCATCTGCCCCTCTGGACCAGCTGCCAGTGAACTGTGGTTGCAGGGTTGGCCTTTGTGCAGCACTACTGCCTTTTGTGCCCCCTGCCCAGCCATCTGGGCAGCTATCACATGGAAAGATGTTCTGGGTGTGGTGGCCTTCTTTGAACTGTCAAAGCATGTCCTCCTGGCCCCCTTTGTCCAGGAGGTCAGCCACAGCCAGATAGATCCAAGGTGCCAGCTCTGAGCAGACAGGGTCCTGTCAGTGGCCTCCCTACCAGGAATTCTGGTGTACCCTATTGGAAAACTGAAAAATCCCTGATTAAAAAAAAAATCCCCAAATCACTCTCTAAAATACCCCCAAATCCATGTCCCTCGACAAGTAAAACAAAAGACCACTATAATGAGAGAGAGAGAGAGAGAAAGACAGAGACAGCAGTCAGTTGGACAATGTTTTATTGATAGATCTAGTGTTAAAGCAAGTTTCATCATAATAATAAAGTGAGCTCTAAATACAGGTTTCATGAATTCATATTTTGCTGCCCTCCCACAGGGTGATGGCCCCCACACAAGGGCTTCGGTCCCCCCAACAGGGGATTCAGCCCCCACACAAGGGTTTCAGAAGCCCCCCACGCAAAAGGGGTATGGCCCCTGCAGGGACTATCCTCCTGCAAGGCCCACATGCCCCATCTCAGCCCCC